ACCCTCAGTTTAAAACGTAACTCTAAAAAAACGGCGAGTGTAATTTTTGGAAAAAACGTCGCGTGTAATTATTGCATTGAAAAAACGTCGCGTGTAATATTGCATTGAAAAAACGTCGCGTGTAATTATTGCATCATAACTGAAAAAAAACGTCGCGTGTAATACTGAAGAAAAAAACGGCAAGTGTAATTTTGAAGAAAAAAACGACGAGTGTAATGGTAAAAAAACGGCGAGTGTTTACAGTCATGGCCCTTCTCGGCCATCGTACAAAACATATTGACGAACTTCGAATTTTAATGAAGGATAAGCCCCTAGATTTAATAGCAATTAATGAGTCTAAAATTGATGACACAGTTTTAGATAGGGAAATCCATATCATTGGATATAATATGATCCGAAAAGATCGTAATAGAAATGGTGGCGGAGTGATAATCTACCTAACTGACATCTAATTCATTGGGAATAATATGCTTAGAGATTAAAAAACCACATGACAAGTCATTTCTAGTATGTGCCTGGTATAGACCGCCAAATTCCAATACCATTTTATTTACTGATTTTGAGGCATTCCTTAGTAAAGGTGATCTTGAAAACTATAAGCTATTAATAATGGGAGATTTAAACTGCGATATTTCTAAGACCCCCCAGGCCCCTAATACACGCAAATTGTTATTTTGACTCTCGCTGCATCAATTTGATCAGTTAATTAACGAACCAACAAGAGTCACAAGAACGTCGGCTACCATGATCGATTTGTTTTTTACAAATAAACCAGAAAACATTTTACAAGCTGGTGTGATTCACCTTGGAATTTCTGATCATAGTTTAATATATGCAGTTAGAAAGAGTTTAATTCTCCAAAATATCGAGAACGATTAAAACTTGTCCGGTATTTTAAAAGCTTTAATGCTACTGATTTTGTTTGGGATATCTCGCAGATTTCATGGGAATCTGTCGTATTGCACAACAACCACAACGTATGCTGGAAAATATGGCAATCTCTTTTTATTGAAGTACTAGATAGACATGCACCCTTGAGAAATATATAATTCCCAAATTGATTGGAGTAAGTACAAAGAAACCCGAAATAAAGTACACTTAGAATTGGGTTTGGCAAAAAAAGATTATTTCTATGATAAAATTAAATTAAGTGCTCAGTTTAATGATGTGGGGAAAAGCTGGTCGTTAATTAACAGCCTTATTGGTAATACCTCGAAAGATAATAACATTACGGAACTCTGTGTCGATGATTCTTCCACTTCAGATTATTGTGTAATTGCGGAAACTTTTAATGAGTTTTTTGTCTCCATTGGTTTAAAATTAGCTTCTGAGTCCTGCAGTGACTCGATGCATGCGACAAGTACTAATAATACCCCACGCTCGAGCACAATTTTTAAGTTTTCTGAAATAGGAGTGGAAGAGGTCACTGCTGGGTTGCGTATGAATATCAAAGCAACTGGCATCGATAAGATACACTTCTCTTGCTCTCAAGATAGTTGCAGATATTATTGCACCATCAATAACTTGGATTTTTAATCTGTCTTTAAAACCGGAATTTTTGTTGACTCATGGAAAAAGGCTTGCGCATTACAAATTTACAAATCCGGCGATAGATGATTATGCGAAAACTATCGGCCAATTTCGATCTTGCCTGTCATAAGTAAGATACTAGAGAGGTCTGTTTTTGATCAATTATACAAATTTCTTAACGACAACTCCCTTTTATCAAAATATCAATCCGGTTTTCGACCAAAGAACTCAACGCTGACTGCACTATTACAGATGTGTGATGAATGGCATCAAAATTTGGACTGTGGGAAATTGATCGGAGTTGTTTTCCTAGATACACCAAGAGCATTTGATTCAATTGATCACAAAATATTGCTACACAAAATGAAAACATAATTTAGTCTTACTAGTATTGGCTTAGGCTGGTTTGAGTCGTGCCTTATGAATAGAGAACAGGTGTGCAATATTAATGGGCTATCTTTCTCTCCTAAGAAGATTATAACCGGTGTGCCGCAGGGCTCTTCTATTCTAGGACCATTGCTTTTCTTACTCTACATAAATGACCTATACCAGAGTGTCTCAGTAAAACTACTCCCTGTTTATATGCTGATGACACCCAGATATATGCATCTTCTACTGTATATGCAGATCTAATAGAGAAATTAAATTCCGATTTAAACCAAATTAGTAAATGGCTCGCTATAAATAAATTACAACACCACCCCACCAAAACGAAGGTAATGATCATTGGATCACACAAAATCTAAAAGAAAAGGTTTGAGATTCCCTAGTAAATAAATGCTGAATGGGAAAACGATCCCTTCAACCGGCTCCTTTGAATGCTTAGGAGTGATAAATGATAAAAGATTACTCTGGGACAAACATATTGATATGAAAGCCGTTATGAGACGAATCAAGCCGTTTGTCCCTATTGAAACTATGAGATTGATTTATAACGCCCTTATACAGCCATATTTTGATTACTGTTCTCCCTTATGGGATAACTGTTGTGCGTATTTAAAGGAAAAACTTCAAAAATTTCAAAATCGCGCGGCTAGAATAATTGTCGGTGCTAGTTATGAAATTCCATCGGCTGACGTTCTTGAAACTCTTGGTTGGGAGCACTAGAAGTGAGACGTAAAAGGAATAAAGCAATCTTAATGTATAGAATCTTAAATAATCAAGGTGCATCGAGTTTGAAAGAATCGTTCACTAGGATTAGTGCTCTGAAAATTAGTTATAATCTTAGAAATTCGAATACTGATTTGGTTCTCCCACATCCTAAAAGAGAATTCCTCAAAAATAGCTATAGTAATGTACGTCTATTAATAATTAACGCACGTATTACGATTAGTTTATATTTAGAATATGGACATTATATATTCAGTTGTTTACATGTAGCCGAGATATCAAGAAGTCTATTAAATAAGAGAACATTTTAATGGCGACGAAGATAAACGTATTCTATTAAACGAAACGATGGTGGAAGAGCAGGCAGAGCCTCAACCACTGCAGCAACCGGCTGTACAGATCATGCAATCTGTAACAATAACTCCATTGCCAGAATTTTGCCCAGATGCAAAAATCGGAACAAGCCTTTCGACAAGATGGAACAATTGGCAGTCAGACTTCGAAATGTATATAACCGCAAGTGGAATAACGGATCCAAAGCGAAAACGTGCACTCTTGCTATATCAAGCCGGACCAAGAGTTCGCGAGATTTTTAAACAAATCCCCGAGACAGGAACTGATACGGACTACAACATCGCGAAACAGAAATTAAAGGCTTACTTCGACCCTCAAAAGAATCGGCGGTACGAAGTTTATCGTTTTAGACAAACAACTCAAGAACACAATGAGACATTAGATCAATTTCACACCAAACTTAGAACAATATCAGAAACCTGTGAATTCGCAGACGTTGAATTTGAAATCGAAGAACAAATCATAGGCGGAAATTCATCAAAAATACGAAAGCGAGCACTGCGTGATCCTACATTTGACTTAAAATCAATGCTTTTAGAAGGACGTCGTGACGAACAGAGCAAGTATCAAGCTGAACAAATTGAATCTAAAGAACAAACTGACGGTGAGGCTAATAAATTAGAACAAAAACCTAATAACGGTAATATTTCGAACAGTAGTAATGTTATTTGCAGAAATTGTGGGCGTGCTTATCCACACACAGGGGCATGTCCAGCGAAAGGAAAAACCTGTAATAATTGTGGAAAACCAAATCATTTCGCTGCTGTTTGTCGAGGAAAACAAAAACAAACGCGATCACCGAGATACACAAACAAAAAGCATGCACAAAGAAATTTAAAAACATTAGATACAGGATCAAACACGAGTTCCGATGAAGACTATTTATATACCATGACAAATACAAAGCACAATAACAAGGTCAATGTTAAAGTAGGCGGTGCCAAATTTCAAACAACAATTGACAGTGGCGCGACAATAAATGTGATCGATCGTGTGACACTTTTAACAAAATGCAAGACATAAAATTAACTCGCACGAACACGAAAGCTTTCGCGTATAATACGAAATCACCAGTTGAATTTTTGGGAAAATTCGAAGCGGTAATCGAAACACGAAAACGAATATCTGTAGCCACATTCTATGTCGCTAAAGCTGCGAACTGTGGAAACTTACTTTCTCTTTCTACTGCACAAGAACTCGGACTTATTAGTTTGCATCTAGACAAACTGACATCAAAGGATGCCGCACTAGAAAACATCCTTCAAAAGCATTCTAAAGTTTTTTCCGATCTTGGAAAATTGAAGGGAGAAAAAAATTAAACTAGATATAGACAAAACTAAAATTCCGAAAGCACAACCCCAAAGGCGCATACCTTATCACATTCGAGAAAAAGTGAAAAACGCGATAACTGAATTAGAAAATCAAGATGTCATTGAAAAAGTGCCCGAAAATGAAGCTACTCCTTGGGTTTCACCCATTGTAGCTGTTCCCAAAAAAGACGGACAGGTTCGCATATGTGTCGATATGCGGCTCGCAAATGAAGCTATAAGACGAGTACGCCATCCTATACCAACAGTAAATGATGTTAGTTTTGCTCTGAATGGAGCAAAATTTTTCTCGAAACTTGATTTGAGCCAAGCGTATCATCAGTTAGAACTGGATGAACAGTCTCGTTATATAACAACCTTTAGCACTCATGTAGGTTTGTATCGCTACAAAAGACTAAACTATGGTACAAACGCTGCAGCGGAGATATTTCAGTACACACTCCAAACTGCACTGCAAGGGCTTAAAGGCGTCAAGAACATAGCTGATGATATCATTGTATTCGGCTCAACAAGAACTGAACATGACGCTAATCTTGACAAATGTCTACAACGACTTGCAATGAAGGGCTTACGACTAAACCGAAGCAAGTGTAATTTCCTTAGCACTACATTGTCATTTTTCGGACAGGTCTTTTCGAAAGAAGGTACTCATCCTCATCCTAGGAGAGTAGCTGATCTATTAAATGCACCTCAGCCAAATAATGCACATGAAGTCAGGAGCTTTCTTGGCATGGCCAACTATGTAGTAAGTACATTCGAGATTTTGCAACACTAACTGCTCCCCTTCGTGACCTGACGAAAAAGGATGTTCGTTTTGAGTGGACTCAAACACACCATGCAAACTGCTTTTGAAAAGCTGAAAAACACGCTTGCAATTGCTCCATGTATGTCATATTTCGACAAAAACAAACAAACTTTTGTGACAGTTGATGCTAGTCCTGTAGGAATTTCTGGAATTCTTTCTCAGAAACCAAGAAACGGTGACGTAGACAGTCAACAGATAATTGCATATGCCAGCCGAGCGCTGACTGATACAGAAAAGAGATACTCCAAGACGGAAAAAGAAGCGTTAGCGATAGTATGGGCAGTTGAACATTTCCATTTATTTCTATATGGAAGTGAATTTACAGTAATAACTGACCATAAACCTTTAGAAATTATTTATGGTCAACGTACAGCCAAAACATCAGCGCGAATTGAAAGATTGGTGCTTCGCCTCCAACCATATACATTTAAGATAATTTATAAATCAGGTGCCAGCAACCCTGCGGACTATCTTTCTCGTCATCCAACAAACGAAAGCAAACGAAAACAGGAGAAGATCACGGAACAATATATTAATTTTATAACTGAGAACAGTGTCCCTAAGGCGATGACATTACAAGAAATAATCAATGCAACTAACGCAGACGCGGCACTAACGGCACTCCATGATGCATTTAAAACAAACAAATGGGATTCCCCAATTGTAAAACCGTTCAAATCCGTAAAAAACGAACTTACGTCTACCACACACGGTGTTATACTTCGAGGAACACGGATTGTCATTCCTGCGGCTCTACAACAACGTGCAATAGATATAGCACATGAGACACACTTAGGAATAGAGAAAACGAAGTCTCTAATTCGTGAAAAAATCTGGTTTCCGCAAATTGACAACCAAGTCAAAAACACAATTGCTAAGTGCACCACTTGTCAAGCTGTCGGACAGGCGAATCCTCCAGAACCATTACGTATGACCGAAATGCCAGAGTTACCATGGAGAACTGTACACATAGATTTTTATGGTCCACTACCATCGTCTGAATATCTGTTAGTGGCGGTAGATAGATACTCCAGATTCCCAGAGGTTGAGATAGTTCATTCAACACGAGCCTCAACAGTCATTCCAAAACTTGACAAAATGTTCTCAGTCCATGGCATTCCTGACACCCTTATATCTGACAATGGTCCCCCTTTTAATGGAGACGACTATGCACGATATCTTAAAGCCCTTGGTATTCAAGCTAAGTTTTCAACACCCTATTGGCCCCAAGGTAATGCTACAGTTGAACGATTTATGCGACCGTTAGGAAAAGCGCTTAAGATAGCGACACTCGAAGGACGACCATGGAAACAAGAATTGAACCGTTTTCTTTTACAATATCGTACCACTCCACATTGCACTACAGGAGTACCTCCATCAGAACTGTTGTTTAACCGAGTGATAAAAGGAAAATTACCAGTATTAAACAGCAAGAAGATCGTCAATCGACATAAAGAAGCTCGAGACAATGAGAAAACACGACAAGAACTCAACCGAGAATATGCAAATCAAAGGAGAAACACAAGAAAAAGTGATCTACAAGTTGGAGATTATGTACTGGTTAGACAAGAAAAGAAAAACAAGCTAACTGCGAATTTTAATCACGAACCGTTTAAGGTGATAAAGAAAACTGGTTCAGAAATACTTGCCCAAAGTAAAGATGGTCATATTGTGAAACGGAACGTGTCACATTTCAAGCGAATAAATAAACCACGAGAAGAAGACACTGATGATGAAGGTTTCGATTATGAAGAAAACTCGCAGAACAATCAGCCATCCATCAGTAATGAGAACAATGCACCAAGAAGATCAAGCCGAATTCGAAGACCACCGAATCGATACGGACATGAATATCCATCAAATCTAATAAACTAACATAACAATGAAACAGCGAAATAACTTCAAATTTAATTAAACATTTTGATATTTGACAACCAAGTTAAAACAGAGGGAATGGTATAGTAATGTACGTCTATTAATCATTAACGCACGTATTGCAATTAGTTTATATTTAGAATATGGACATTATATGTTCAGTTGTTTACGTGCAACCGAGAATATGCAAATCAAAGAAGAAACACAAGAAAAAGGAGATTATGTACTGGTTAGAGACTGGAGATTATGTACTGGTTGGAGATTATGTACTGGTTAGACAAGAAAAGAAAAACAAGCTAACTGCGAATTTTAATCACAAACCGTATAAAGTAATAAAGAAAACTGGTTCCGAGATACTTGCCCAAAATAAAGATGGTCATATTGTGAAACGGAACGCGTCA